CTTGTCTGCTCCAGGCTCTGTAGTAGGATAGAGAGTTGACTGGCTAGCAGCAGCGCTGTCACCCTCACTCCAGTAGAAGAGAAGGACCTGAAAACAACTGACCTGATGGGAGTCTTTAGACGTCTTAAATGCACTGAAAAAGTTAGTGTGCTCAATGTCTATACCCTTTCAGATGTAAATAAGTATAAAGTCCAATATAATTATGATTATGTCCCTCAAGGGTTACATTTATTGGAGCAGGGAGGCTAAATATTTTTCTAAAATTTTCTCATTTATTTTACTTTATTGCCCCAGCTTTATTGGTGCCCTAAGGATGGGCTGAGTTTATCTCCTGGTCAGTAACCAACCTTAAGAGCACCTGAAAGTGTTAGCAAAATGGAGAGGAAGTCCAGCGGCCTGAGCGGGCATCCCAAGGTTAGCCATCAGTTTTATTGAGACATTAGCATTGAATATTGCATGGAAGCTCACTTGGGTTTAACTTGAGGGACTGAAAATGGAGACAAATGTGTGTGAATTTAATGGATGACTCTCTTAGCACACTGACCACGTTCTGGAAGAATACATCTGGAGAAAAAAATATTTTATAATCAAGTGTTTGTAGAGTCTGCTGCCTTTTCCCTGAACTAAATTTGTCAACATTTAAGTGTTTCATGGCCACGAGTAACTGTATTTTCACTGAAGTTTTGAGATCTATTTACACCAACTAGAAGACTCAAAATGGTTTTGTTGTTGTTCTATAAATTATTGGATGGGTCCTGCTCAAGTTTTAGATTATAGACACCACCCAAACTCAACAACCTGCAAGTTTTGATAGTTGACTTTATGGCTAAGGACCAGCACTATCTTAGCCCGCTTTACTTCCATCGCCGGTATAAGTGGCTGACAATGGGGGGCGGGGGACTGGGGTGGAAGGGACGCTTCCACCCACTTACAATAAAACAAAATTTAAAATCACTTAACGAACTTCACTGTTTAGCCAAATTAAAAAAAAAGAAGTCTGTTGGCGATGTTTTGTACTGGAGTGGATGCAGCTATTGGCTATATTGACTTACCAGGTAAGGGACCTCTGGCCCGCATATTTAAAAAGGACAGGTAATTCCAATTCAAATGTGAGTCACAGCAAGATTTAAAATAGAGTGCTATGCTGCATAGATCTTCTAGTTCTTTTAGCCAAAATATTAAATCTGAGACATCTACAGGACAGCTGTCCTGTAGATGCAGTAGATACCAAATAGGCTAAGCATGGGAGAGCCAAACCCTCTGCAGGTCCAGTTGCTGGTGATACCCTCTTCTCCTTTTGGGATTCCTCTCTGCTGAGCTCCTAATGGAGACAAAGAGTTCCAGGAAGGACATGAAGAGAGAAACAAAATAAAGGCAATACATGAGTCTGGGGAAATAGACCATTGCCCAAGTGAGGGATCTGGTTTTAGTTGAGGGATTTTAGGATATTTGCATATGAGTTGGGACTTTTAAGTTAACTCAAAGATTGATTCACTCAGTTAATAATATTTTAACCTTTAATTCTGTGGACAGAAATAAATTGTGGGATGAGCTGGAAGAGTTCCAATTAAACTCTTTCTTAGAAAGAAAGACCCTCGGGCGCCTGGGTGGCTCAGTTGGTTAAGCGACTGCCTTCAGCTCACGTCATGATCCTGGAGTCCCGGGATCGAGTCTCGCATCGGGCTCCCTGCTCAGCAGGGAGTCTGCTTCTCCCTCTGACCCTCCTCCCTCTCATGCTCTCTGTCTGTCATTCTCTCTGTCTCAAATAAATAAATAAAATCTTTAAAAAAAAAAAAAAGATTCCCGTACAGTGCTGGACATGGGCTGTGTATGAGGTTTTGGGCTTCCTGCCAGGCAAAGCAAAGAGGGAACACAAACATTTAGGAAATTGACCATGTCTATAAAATAAAAATAGACTGAGACCTAGAGAAATTTCTCATCAAGGTCTTCAAAAAGGAGACGATATATGACATGCGGTGGTCAAAGCCTTTAACAGTATCTTTACAATAAACAGAACAGTGACTTCTGATAACTTATTTCCTACTATAGGGTTAAAGGGCAATGCTGGTGTAGAATCACTGAGAGCAATCTATGAGCAGCTAAAATGATCCCAGGGAATTCCTTATCTCTCTAATCATCTGGATGATTCAGGATTAAAAATCAGATGCGGGACTCGATCCCGGGACTCCAGGATCATGACCTGAGCCGAAGGCAGTCGCTTAACCAACTGAGCCACCCAGGCGCCCTGTACGGGAATCTTAAAGCATCTGCTAAATTTGCTCCAGACTTTATTTCCCCTGTGACCAATTTCTTCATTTTTCATTTTGTATCTTGTTTTATATGTAAGTTTGTAAGCTGCTCAAATCTTCTTAAGAACAAGATGAGAGTATGAATCAGAGTTTCTCAGCCTTGACACTGTTGGGCCAAATAATTTATTTTTGGCTCAATGGGGGATTAAATGGGGAGTTTGGAGGAAAGAATGGGAGGTGCGTCCTTGACCTCTATCCACTAGCTGTCAATAGTAGTTCCCGGTACTGGGAAGGTACCTTTCACTTGATAGATTTATCTCCTGCTTTTAGGGAAGAAGGGCAAGAAAAAGAGGTAAAAATGACCTTCCAGCTTCTGCCATTTTCTCAAAGTCCTTCAGCTTAATAACATTCAACATGCCAAGCTGCCATATTTTAGGGTAGTGTATCCTGAACCCCAATACTTAGTATTTTCTAGGATACGTGCAACTCACTGTTTTGGGGGGACCCAGATGACTGAAGCCCACTTTCACCCTCAGAAAAACCTGCAAACAAACAAAAAAAGAAAACAAAATAAAAATAAAAGTGCTCAGTTTGCACATCTCTGTATCTCATATCTCAAGTTAATGTAGCTTCTGAGGGCTTTCCTGATGACCCTTGGGAAAAGGAAGTGGAGATACTATTATTGGCATTTAGACAAAAAAGGCACAGAGGTAGCCAAGTACCTAGTGTAGCTAGTGCCCAGTGTGCTGACTCCCACGTCCAGCAGGCTCTCCACCATATCATGAGAGTGTTGAAAAAGTTGAGCAGGAAGACAGGCAAATCCAACTTGGAGGATTAAGAATGGCTTCATGGAGGAGGTGGCATTTGAGATGAGATGTTAACAGGTAAGTAGGTAAACAAGGGACAAGAGCTCAGGGCAGGAATTCTTGCAGACTGGTGAGCACTGTGGCCTGACTGGATAGATAAGGGAAGGAAATGGTAAAGGACTGAAAAAATAAGGTGGGTCCTTTTCTGAGGGCACCCTGAAATGGTTCAGAAGTGAACAGGCATTCTTCCCCGAGAGCCATGTATGCCTGACAGCAGATTAACAAACTTTAAGAAAAAAGTAGCAGAGAAGCTGAATTAATTAGGTCACCAGAGAGACTAGTGATGGTAGAAGGATGAGAGACCTAGGAGGATCCAATGTATCCTGTCCTCTTTATCCCCAACCCTCGCCCCAGTTAAATGTTTTAGTGAGCAAAAATCTTTACTTCCTTAATGAAAGTAGGATAAAGGACTCTCTGGTGTCAGAAAAATTCCCAGTCGAGCACTATCAAATATGCAAATACTCCTGAGAGGGCTCCTAATTTAAGGATAACCAAGGACGAGCACCATTTTTAACAAAAGGGGAAATGTTTTGGAGTAGCTTTTTGGTTATAGAAATTATTTAGCTTCAATTAGGAAATGCCATAACTTCAATTACACACAATTGACTTTAAATTTACATATAACATAGTTTTCATTGTTTTGGCTAAAATTTTCAGAAAATGATGTGATTGGTGGTACATTAGTCAAGGATCCTATTGTGATACAGGCAATGCAGGGCTCTGTAGGTGATCCTGATAACTGGCTCCAGAGGCAGATCAGACTCAGGACTAGCAGCAGGCCTGCTTTGGCGCTTCTGGGTGCTGGAGAAGCTCAAAGAGGGAGATTTTTGGGGAGGAGCAGGATCTGAGTGTGTCTGAGGAGAGAGGGAAGCCTAGAAGCCAGATACTGGTAAGTGAGGAAACTCCTTTCCAATCCAAGTCTGTAAGGAGAAGGGATATATCCTCAGCTAAGGCCCAATGTGAGGGCTTCACTAAGTTGGGCAGAATGCCCTCCTGCCACCACTCCATCACCCTGGACAGTGACCAGAGGCTTTTTGTTTCCAGATATTATTTAGCTTAAATTAAGAAATGTCATCCTTTCAACTATGCATAATCATTTTTAAATTTCCTTATAACTGAGAGTTTTCAGGGTTTGGCTAAAATTTCAGAAATGACTTTGTAGGAGAGAAAAAATCATTTACCCTCTACCCTTCTAAGTTCTCAACTAGGGCCCCTGAAAGAAAAGACAGATTAAGAAGAGAAAAACAGAAGTTGATTACACATGTATCTCATATGCATGAGAGATATGCAGGAAAATGAGTAACTTTCAGAGGTGGCTTAGAATTCAGGCTTAAACACCAGCTTCAGCTAAAGGCACTAGAGAGAAAGTGTGGGGGAAGCCAGTTATGGGGAGGGGAGCAGGAAAATAAGGGTAAGATTTGCTATGCAGATTTAATTCCATAAGTCTTAACATTGATTAGAGTCCCTTGTGGTATAAAGTCATCCCTCTCTTCCTGATAGGAGAGTGGGACACTTACAGATGGAAATTTTCCCTTATAAATGTAAATTTCCCTTAAGGGTAACTTTGACTCTGTTTTCAGAGCTTCTCCTGTGTGTGCTGTTTCTCAAAATAATGGACTCAAAATAACTCTTACGCCAAAGAGGCGTATTTTGGAATGGCATTTTCTGGTCTATATGCAACAGGTACAAAGACAGAGTCCCCATGTGATGCAGAGAAGGCAGAATTCTGTTTGAGATGCAGGGTAGTGGGACAAATGGTTCCAGATGCAGACTCAGAACCAGCACTGAAAGACAGGCCTGCTGGGGGCTGTTTGGATGCTGGAGAAGCTCAAAGTGACTCAAAGCAGGGCCTTCCCAATTGACTTTATTTACTTTGCTTTTCCAGAAACGGGTTGCATATAACCCATGGAATGATCTAGTAGAAAGCTGAAAGCCAGAAGGAAGTGGACAGAGGAGAAAGGAGGGATGGAAATAGAGGGAATGAGGAGCCTGGGGAAAACCAAGGTGAGCGATATTCAGCAGTTTGGTGGATCCCATCAACATAGCTGAGACTGGTTGAGAGAAATGGAGCCCATGCAGGCCCCAGGCCAGTCAGTGCGACTCCTCCATAGATAGGACTTGGAAGATAGGACTTGGTAGAATGGAAGAATATCGACTTTGGCTTCAGCTCACCTGCCTGGGAACCTGGCTATGCTGCTCCAGGTATTTGGTTTCAAATTAGGAGAAAAGATTGTTATGAGGCTAGAATCCCACCACGAACCTAAGATTACTTAACATGGAAACTGGCAATAGAAACTGCTCAAGAAATTTCAGTTTCCTTCCTTTGTCCATGAATAAACAATTGCATTCCCAGAGAAAATGCTCTTGTAAGAATTTAGATAGAAAATCATAAACTGTGGCCACCATTAGGGTCCTTGGCCTCTGCTCACTCCCTGGGGGGTGGGAGACAGCTTCCTGCACAACCTAGGAAAGCCCCATTGTTTTGGCCTCCCCCACACCAATCCCATTCCTGTAAATTGGGAGGCAGAAACTGCCCCACCCACCATGATATTCTCTAATTCCAAAGTTATTCCCAAAACCCTCCAGATAAATGGAGAATGCCCAGTTAAATTTGAATTTCAACTAAAGAATGAAAAATGTTTTAGTATAAGTCTGTCTCAAATATTGCTTGGGACTTATTCAAATTTAACAGAATCTCCTTTATTTTTTTTCCTAAATGTGGCAACTCTATTTAATCATTTAACCATAATTTCTGTTTTTCTCAGTCTTAAGCCTAGGCTTCTGCTTCCCAGATTCTTGTAGCACCCTATGGGTAAAAAGAAAGATGGTGGCATCACCAGGTATTGACAAGGACGTGGGACAAATGGAACTCTCATCCATTACTGATGGGAGTGTAAATTGGTACCACCACTTGACAATACTGTTTGGCACTACCAACCCTAGGACCCAGCAGTTCTACTCTAAGTGTAGACACACAGAAATACATACCTCATCCACCTAAAGATATGTACAAGAATGTTCATAGCACTAGGATACCATTCCTAATAGTCCAAACTGGAAACAATACAGTGGTAGCATGGATAAATACATTGTTTATATCTATGTGATGATTTATTATATGTCAATAAGAATAAATGAATTATTGCTGTATGCTACATGGTTGCATCTCACAACCCTAATTTTGCACAAAAGAAACCAGACACAGAAGAATAAATAGTGCGTATAATTCAACATGTGTAAGGCTCAAACACAGGCAGAGGCAGAGGGACTTCCTAAGAGAGTAAGGAGGGCTTCTGTGGTGCTGGTAATGTCCTTCTTCTTGAATCAGGCTGTGGTACAAGAACTGTTCACTGTTAAATTCATCAATCATGCTGACGATTTTGGCACTTTACTGAATGTATATTGCACTTCAGTTAGAGGTTTGCTGAGAGTTGAGGTCTATCCCGATGGGACTTTTTCTGTAGACCCACATGGTTGGAAACCCCTCCTAGAGTGTATGTGTGGTTTCCTTTGTTCACAGAACTATGTGTTAGATCTGTGGGAAGGAACTGCAAGACATCTATCTGCTAAAACTATGTGAAAGACCTAATAGTCACATTTTTTAAATCTTAGGTATTGGTGTATCCCAAAAATCTGTACAACTCTAGGGTGTGATAGTTTAAGGGTGAGTATGATTTGAACTCATTCATGTTTAGAAGGTGTTTGAAACTGAGAACCAGGCAGATCCATCTACTCTGACCCTAAACATGGCCCTAAAGTAAAGAAATTGGACCCCAAAGATTACAGGTGGGGAAAAGTTCTTTTTAAAAGAGCTATTTTGAAGATTATGATTCTGACTTTGGAGGAACTATGGTGATTGGCAGTGGAAGGAATCACATCTAAATTCCTTAAATAAAAATTTATTGACTTTAAATTTTTAAAAAAGTTTACTGAAAGAGAAAAAAAAGTAGAACTGGAGGGTTACACTGTCCACATAGGAACAAAAGCAGAAGGAAAAGAGGCAGGTGGGTGGGAGGGGAACGACTAGCAGGATGTGCCACACAGGGGAGGGATTTCAGAACAGGATGTGAACAAATCTATGGGGAAACCGGGGCATGTAATGATCCCTGAGTTCTAGCCTTTGAAACATGTGTGTCTAGGAAGCAACGTGTTAGGTCCCATTCCTCACAAGGACTGCTTGTCTGGCTACCGTAGACCCTGGGAAACTGAATCAGACACCATTAGAACCCCTCCAGAAGCTCATGCTTCACGATGCCCTTGATGTTTTCGAACCATGGTTTCTCAGCACTGTTGTTGACATTTGGGGATAGAACATTATTTGTTGTGGGGGCTGTCCTGCGTTTTGCAGGATGTTTAGCAACATCTCTGGCTTCCACCCACTAGAATGACCATAGCACCTCACTCCCAATTGTGACAACGAAAAATATCTCAAGGCATTGCCAAATGTCCCCTTGGGGGGGGGGTTCAAAATAATCCTGGTTGTGAACCAGTTAACTGAATGTGTATGGTGGAACTCTAGAGGAAGTTTTTGAGTGACTGGGTTCAAGATACTAAAAATACATACCTAGATAAATACACACGAGCACACACATACAGACCGACAGGCATACTAAAAGAAAGCAAAGTTAGTCACAAACTGTCCACCTCCCTATAGTTCCAAAATTTGCCTGGGAAGGGACAACTTAAGAAATGCTTACCTTTCCTTCCCAAACAGGTCTTGCGCACTTTAGCTGGCCAAGATTCATAATCCCAGATTGAGAGACTCCTTGGAAATAAACGTAACAGTTTTGGAATCCCAAGAACTGAATTCAAATCCCAGCCCTGCCACTCTGTCACTGTGGACGTGTGACTTACTTTCTGTTTCTTTCCCCTTCATCTGTGGCCTTGTGGAAGACATGCCTCATGTCCTCATCTATAAATTAAGGATGTTGGACTAGCGATCATGACTTTTCCTTGGCCCTGGCATGTAACCTCTTTGCCTCAGTTTTCACGTCTGCAGTAGAAGGCATCTTACCAGCCTTCATTCCCTGCGTGCTTCAGTCTGCTGGGAATATTAAAGGGATCAGTGTTAACTAGAGATCAAACAAGAACACGCTTTAGAAAGCAGAGTGCTCCTTGCAAGCATAAACCATTGTCATATTGGCAACAGATCACACTCAGGTTTTCCAACCACTTTCCTGGCACTCAGACTCTCTGTAGACTATCTCTCTCTCATGTATATGGTGATTGGCAGTTTTCAAAATGTCTTCACATAACAGGATCTTACCCGATCCTGCCAAATACCAGCAATGACTTCAGTCCCAGCTTTCAGATTCCTACCCCATTGCTCATTTTATCTACCACACTGTGTTAGCTTTCTGGAGCTGTGATCCCAGGCACGGCCCCATACTATGAATCAGGCATAAGACCTGCTACTTAATGATATTTAGCCTCAAATAGACACAGGGGTGCATATATCAGCTCACTGACATACAGGAAACACAGTGTTGAGTAGACATGGTCTATTGACCTACTCTCATCACAGTAACACAACAACCCATGAGGGCTACTACACTCATTTTAAAGATGTCAAAACTGAGGCACAGAGAAGTTAGTTTACTTGTCCAAGAACACACAGAGGGTGGAAAATAAATTTGAACCCAGTTCCTAATCACAATCTAGATCCTGAAGAGTCAAAGTGTGGGCCAGATTACCAGCAGGACTGGCACCCCTGCAGAGCTTGTTAAAAAGCAAGCCTCAGGTCCCATTCTGGACCTATTGAATTAGGTTCAATGCTCTAAAAGGATACTAAGTGAGTCCTGTGCACGGTGTAATGTGAGAACCACGGCTGCTCGGTGTAGATCCATCCACACAGAGAAGCACAAAATCTATAAATAGACATACAACACATGCACACAGACATACAACACATGCACACACACATACAGTATAAAAATATACTTCTAAACATCTTACTTTAAGAAAGGGAATTTACGGGTTGAAAAACAAGCGGCAAGAGTCACTGTGTTAGATTAGGAATTAAATTAATTGACTTAACACACACAATACAATTTAGGATAGATGTGATTTGTATGTAGGGCAATCGCAGCAGATGCCCATTTCAGGATTCCTATCAGAACTGATTCTCCAGCCTGCTCACTGGCATTTTTTTTTTTAAGATTTTATTTATTTATTTGACACAGAGAGTGAGAGGGAACACAAGCAGGGGGAGCGGCAGGCAGAGGGAGAAGCAGGCTTCCCGCTGAGCAAGAAGCCCAATGCAGGGCTCGATCCCAAGACCCTGGGGCCATGACCTGAGCCGAAGGCGGTCGCTTAACCAACTGAGCCACCCAGGCGTCCCTGCTCACTGGCATTTTGTTTTTACACCAAACACAGCAAATTTTATACTTACTGTAAACTAGTGACCACAACAAATAGATATTTCCAGGGCTGTACAAAGGGTAATGAAGCGCTGGAAGAATAGTTAAGATAGAGTCTTTGCCCTGGAATAATTTTTAGGGTTGGGGTCTTGAAAAGAACTTTAACATAGTTTTCCATTTTGGTACGTTGGCTAAGCTGATTTGTGTGGTTATGTGAATTTTTTCACCCAAAGCATTGATTCTTCTAAGAAGTAATCTTCTATTAAGAATACAGCCTTACTGGCATATTTTTCTTTTCTTTCTTTAATGATACACACGCAGCAGGAAGAGCTATATGTACCTTTCATGTCATGCTTTTCCCAGTATATATTTTGAAGGCATTGGATCATTCATCCTTGAGGCCAGAAGTATATCTATAACATTCAGTATCGAACAACACATTACCTGTGCAATTTATTCAACTTTGGTTTTGTTGAATCATGTGCCCACTCTGATTGGATGATAGTAGGAAAGATATCATAGTCCTCCTAAATAATCAGAGAGGAGAAAGACCTTTGGACTCCAATGAAATGTTTATCTAGCCCCATAGTTTCAACCATAATTCCTGGTGCAAGGTGACAGTAATTATAGCGCCTTCTCAATCTGGTGGTTTTCCCTTTGTGTCATAAAGCAGGTTCTTGATAATAAATATTAGAGTCAGCCTTTTAAGGCGGTCAAAGTGCCCTGGCTTATATTATTCCATAATACCTCCACCCCATTTGTAGGGACTCACCTGGTGGGGGAATCAACTGATCACAGCCACGATCTCAGTGGAGAGAAAAATCAATCAGGAAAAAGAGCAGGGCAGGGGAAGAGCTAAGAAGACCTACTGGTAAGGGCTGAGCGAGAGGGAAATGACCTGTAATCAGTGGTCCACAGAGCTGTCTGCATCACAGTCGCCTCTTAAAACTTTTACTCGCCCAGGGTCCACCCCAGCTACTGAATCGGAATCAAGTATGTGTGTTTTCAACCAAGCACTAAGGATGAGCCTAGTGCAGTCAGGACTGAGATACACTCCGGGGGCATCTTTGATTGGGGCCCTCCCTGACGACAGGGAGGGGCAGGTGGACCGATAATGGGGCCGGATATTCCTTCCACCTGGCTACGGGAAGTGTTAGAGGTGAGCAGGGTCGAAGGCTACAAAGTACAGCATATGGTTAGATATGAAGTAGTAAGGAAGAAAGTTTTAACATTAACCCTTGTGAAACCTAACACATTATCTCCCTTGGGAGTTCTGGAGACTTCCAGGAGACTTCACTTGATCGCTGGATGATATCTGAGAAGTATATAGGCACCACTTTGTTTGAGGGACACTATTTCTTAGTGGTTTTGCAACTACTAGATTTTTCTGTGGAAGCTTGAAGTCCACCCCCCATTTTTTTTTTTTTTTTCAGATTCTGGCCTGACAATTTCACAAAAAGAAGTTAATCTTTTTTTTTTTTTAAGTAACCGAGGACATCTGTTAAAACTTTAGCTTTCAGGATACCACTAGCAATTATGGAATGAGGACTGACATTATCTAGAAGCATCGGCGTAATGATAACTTTTTTGGAGAAGTAAAGAACTCTATCTCACGAAGTTCTTAAGGGGCAATTGAGATATGTCTATGCAATAGCTTTGTAAAAGTCATTACAATCTCTATTAAATAAAACACCTCATGTGCAAAAAAGACATTGTTCAGGATGGTTATCTTGAAATAGAAAAAAAAATCTTGCTGATAAAAAGAAAAAACGGATCGGAGAAAGGGGCAATAAAACCCCCCAGAAAACCTGTGGAAGGAACCCTCACCCCACTTCCTTGCTGTTTCTCATTACCAAGTATCGACAATAGTCCGGAAATGTCTTGCTAAGTCCGTTGAGGGTGGCCACCCCAATCAGGAGAAGTGTGATGAAATGTCTTCTCGACTGGGGTCTACGTGCCATCCAACCAATACTGGTAGGTGTTTAATACCTTTTCGATTTTGTTTTCACAGGCAGTGCCCTTTGGAACTTAGCCTTAAAAATGAATCCAGTCGTTTCGCAGCCAGGATATGGTACAGGAGGTATGATGAATAGCGACTGGCAAACTGGCACATTTGACTGCTGTGATGACCTGGGGATTTGTAAGTGCGCCTAATTATTGCTCCTCCTCGACTCCCAGAATGCAGGTTCCTGACCTAATAAAACTCATCTACTTTTCCTGTCACTGAGCCCCCTGCTCTACTGTCCAACTCGGAAGTCACGAGCTGCAAGCCCATGGGTGGATTTAGCCACCGTATGTGTTTTGTTTGTCCCGTACGTGATGAACTCGCTTCTTGTAGTAATTTAAAAAATACAAGGAAACATATGAAAATAAGATTTCACATAAAAATCTGGCTTTCCAATCTAGATTTCCAACTCCTCTCAAAAATTGGAAAATGTGGAAAGATGAGCCTTCATCACACACGGCAGAGTTCAGCTGCTGCTTCGCATGAGCTAATCCCATTAAAGGAGATTCTCATTCTACAGTTTGCCGCATTTATTTATGCCCGCTATTGGCTATTTTGTGTTTTTCTCCCGTCTGTTTCACTCATTTTACCTGCATGACCTTGAGTTTGTGATCCTTGTCGAGATCAATCGCCATCTGCCATTTTTCACCTCTTAGTATCACCGTGCTCTTGACACATGCTCCATCTTGTCTTCTACTTACCTCTCCCTTTTCCGACAATGCCGTTCTGTGTTTTCCATCTTTCAGTGCCATTCTAGCAACTCTTGTCACTGTTCCATTTCAGAAAGCACTGCAGGCTTCTACTTCTTTCCCACTACAAAACACACTTTGGTATGAGAAGTTTTTTATTTCAGAGTCTCCTGCCATACGGGTTGTAGACATTCTCTGTGGGGCTCATCTCGACATCATGTGTGAGAAACAGCCTCCTTTTCTTGTGTATGAGGGAAGTGCCAGGTTCTTTGGAGATAGCCTTTTGCTTAAAAACAATCAATCAAAAACCACTGACTCTCTTATCATATCTAGGGTACAGCCACACTGCAACTCCACCCCAGCACTTTTCAAAATAGACTTTCACTCAAAGCATATTTGAGAACAGTTTCCTGTTTGTTGTTATTTTCTTGGGCCCTTTCTGTGCCTTGCAGAGACTCTTTAAAGGGAAACTGTGCTCAACTTTTTAAACAACTGATACCAATATCCCTTAATTTCTGCTTGCTTCCATCCTCGTAAGGTTGATAGTCCTTTTGCCTGAATGACCTTCTAGAACCTATTTCCGCTCTTTGTCCTTAATGATTCTTCACTCAGTGTTTGCTGACCCTCAACCGCCTCCCATGGTTTTCCGAGGGCTTCTCAGACACCCTGACGCCACAGACTTCCTCCCCAAGCGTGACCCAGACGTAACAAGGGCAGGGAAGAAAGATAACGTGAGCACGCTCAGATTGGCAAGGCAGGAGCTTCTGCAATTAAATCGGACCTGATACAATGACTCACAAATTATCCCCAATTCCTGGATAGAGGGCTCTAGCAGCAAGACATAAGGAGCCAGATGACAACATTGTTTTCTCCGAGGGCCCGCGAAAGCCATTTCCTGAGCCAGCATCTTTTTGAAAGAGGTGTGATTTCGTTGAAAGCATGATGCCTTTCACTAACTCTTCTGCCTGGCTTCCCCCCTGCACTCAGGCCTCTGTGGGACTTTCTTTCCCTTGTGCCTTTCATGTCAGATCGCCTCTGACATGAACGAATGCTGTCTGTGCGGAGCGAGTGTCGCTATGAGGACCTTGTATCGGACGCGATATGGCATCCCGGTGAGTCGGCCGCGCGCACCGGGACACACACGCCGGGACAGCCAAGGGCTCCCTTCGAGCTGACTGCATCTGCGCGATTGCCCTCCTCGCCTTCACGGCTTGACCCTAATCTTTTCTCTACGCCCATCCTAAATTTTTGAAGTGATTGACAGGGGCCGCGCTGCTGCCCATACCGTTGAACGTATTAGTAATAATATCTTACGTTGTTCCTGTAGAGGTGTCTCTGAAACAGTTGCTGGAGGTGAGCAGGTGAGGAATGGAGAGCCCTTAGCCTCTCCCCGCTTTGCTCAGCCAGACCCAGGACCCTGCAAATCTGCAGGCTGGACGATAGTTTGTTAGAAAGCCTTGGGGAGAAAATGGGTGTGTGGTAGATCCCTTCCAAGCTGGTACATCTGCCTCATAAGCCAGTGTTCCTCCATTCAAAAGGGATTATTGAGCATCTAGGCTCTGGCTAAGTCATAAACTGGTATTCATTCATTCAACAGAGGTTTGTCCTGAACATCAGACATGCCCAGTACTATTCCCGATGCTAGAGGCACCTCAGTTAACAAAGCAAATCAAAATCCCTGTCTACATGTAGCTTACATCTTGTTTCTTCTTGTTTTTTTGAGACCTTTAACATAGTTTCAAACTTAAAGAAAAGTTGCAGAAATAATAAATGGGGTGGGGGGAGGAGAAACGATGCAAGGAATTCCTGAATATCCTGCACCCACATTCCCCAAATAATAAAATCTTGCCATCTTTGTTTTATTTACTCTTTCCTCCACCTATTTGTCTATCCTTTTTTTCTGAAACATTGATAGGAAATTACAAACTTGTTGACCTATTACCTTTATTACATCATGTATTTCTTAATAACAAGGACATTCATTTATATAACCATCATACAATGATCAAAATCAGTAATTTAACACTGATACAGTACTATTAGCTAATTTGTGGATCCTATTTAAACTTTACCAATTAACCCAATAACATTCTGTGGATGAGAAGAAAATCAATCTGGGATCACACATCGTATTCAATTGTCCTTCCTCTTTAGTTTCCTACAATAAGGAATAGTTTCTCAGTCTTTCGTTGTCTTTCTTTTCCCCCCAAATACAGATCAGTTATTTTGTAGACTATCCTTTCAATTAGTTGTGTCAAATGTGTCCTCATGGTTAGACTTAGGTTTTACACTTCAGCAGAACCTCCGTAGAACTGATGTAATATTTGCTGTGCTTCCTGTCAAGAGGCACATAACATCAGTGTATCCTATTATGGTTGTTGTTTACTTTGATTACTTAGTTAAGGTAGTGTCCACCAGGATTCTCCACTGTAAGTTTGCCATTTTCCCCTTTAAAAGAGTAAGGACCATGTAGAAAGATGTAAATATCCTATTGCTCATCCAACCTTCACCCCCTGAGATTAACATCCATTAAAGCTTCTCACCTGAATTAGTTATTACTATGATGGTTGTCAATGGTAGAGCTTACACTCTAATAGGAGAAGATTGCTACACTGTAACTAAGTAAAAACCTTATAGGATGCTGATAAGTGGTACAGAAAAAAATAAAGCAAAGAAGAGGAATAAAGAATGTTGAAGGTTCTAATTTTATTTTATTTTTTTTCAGCATCATAAAATATATTTTTATCCAAGCAAGGTTCATCCCGGGAATGCAAAGATGGCTCAATATCAGAATACTCTATTTACAGATTCAAAAAGAAAAACCATATGATCATCAGTTGATGCAGAAAAAAAGCTCAACAAAATTCAATGCTCATCCACATTTTTAGAAAGGGAGTTCTACTTTTAAATAGGGTTATCAGGAAAGGCCTTGGTACAAAAGTGAAAGGATGAGAAGATGACCCATCTGGGGAAGAGCCAGGCGGAAGAAAGAGTGTCACCCAAGGCTTTAAAGTAGAGTTTATCTGGAATGTTCCAGAAACTGCAAGGGGCCAGAGAGGCAGGAATAGAATGAGTGAGAGGGTGGGGGTAGGATGTCGTAGAAAAAGATGACATTAGAGCAAGATTTAGAAATTCTAGGGCCTTGAGAAACCATTATAAGGACTTTAGCTGTTACTCTGAGTGAACAGGGAAGCCAGTGAAAATGTTTTAAACAAAGAAGTGACATGATGGATTCTTTTCCTGGAAACATAGCCTCTGCCCCACTCACTGCTCCCATTGCAACAGGAGCAAGTTATTAATCTCCCTAAGCCTTGACCCCCTCACTGCTAAATGGTCACAACAATACCTCCCCTTTAATGGGGTAGCAAGAGTCATGTGAGATAATGTGTGGAAAGGGCTTAGCACAGGACCTGGCAAGTAATAAGTGCTCATTAAACAATCACTTTTATTTTTATTCTTTTCTCAGAGAATTACTCAGCCATTTCCTCAGGGCAGAGGTGTGTTCAGGGCCCTGGCCTCATTTCTCCTGTGTGCTTGCTCAGCTACCTGACTTGCTCAGCACTCAAGGCTGCTCTCATTCATGCTACTCCTAAGGCAGCATAACACACAGGGGTTCTTAACTTTATGCCTGGACCTTGAATTTCCTGAATTGTATGCAAAGTGTCATGCATGTGTACGTATGTGTATGGTATGATGGTAAGACTCTCAAAGCAGCCCAAGACCCCAACATGGTGTCTAGGAAGGGGCACTTAGCTGGATCCTGGAGATAAGACTTTGGGAACAGCTCAGCATGTTCTCTGATAAATCATGTGGTGGCATCAGTTTTCTCATCTGTCATGAGGAAGTTGTACAAGATGATTTCTAGGTCTAGGATTCTAGATATAGTAGGTTTCCTTAACATACAATGAAGCAGTATATTTATAGACAGTGTATCTCTATTTCCTCCTTAGAACAGACCTAAAAATAATTCCCAGGACTGATTTGTATCACTCAGGCTCTCTGTTTTCTTTCCCTTGCATATCTATGCAAATCTTTATGAGACTGCTACAATGCAGCCTCTCTGATCTGCCCCTCCCTTCATGAATACAGCCAAGAGAGCATCCCTTTGGCCAGGGCATAACCTGTGCAGGAGAGAAGGAGGAAGAAAAGAGACAACCACCGATTGTACTACCATGAGCTGGGATATTATTCTGACATATATTTGCTCATTTACTACTTGCAAACTCTTGTGGTGTGGAAATTGTTACCTCCCTTCATAGATATGGATTGGCTCTTTGCCCCAAATGCTTACTCTGTTACATGACGATCAAAATCACTGTAGCAATGGGAAAAAAATTTTTTCATGAAAAATAAATCACTCATAATCTCACCATTTAGAAGCTCCTAACTATACACCACATCCCCGCCCCGCCCCGCCCCACAAGCTCACACTGTAAATTGGGAATTATATTAAACTCAACATTTAAAAACATAAGTGCTGTCAAATAATGGAGCTCAAATTTATTTCAATCTGTCAAGACATGCAGTAATAAAACCAGGTTATCAGACTATAACTCCCTGGTTCCCTCAGTGCCTCCTGCACCAGAACAGGAACCCCTTCGAGGGTATGTCTTCCAGAAGGTCATTGAGGACCCAATTGGACCTTGCATTGAGAGGGCCCTCAAATCCTTGCAAAGTACCTTATTCCATGGCTTTCCAAACAACAGTCATTTTTTTCTTTCTTCTTTCCCCCATAATTTATGTATCTCCCCTTTGCTCCAAACTTCTTCCATTGCAGAACTTGAGAGATGTCAATGAAAATGGCTAGAGGGATACAATGTGGGGCCTCATCTGGCTCTGCTCACAAACTACAGAAAAATTGGTGCGTTTCACAACAGGCTTTAAAGGGAAGCATCTCAGAAGAGATGTTAGAGGATGAGGGCTATAGTCATAACCTGCAGACCAGTTAAAATCGTGTCATATATGGTTAAGGGCACTGGCTTGAGAAAAGAAAGACCATGTGGCACTACCAATTTGTTATGTGTTCTGAACAAATCATTTACCTTCACTTGGATCATCAGAAAAATGGGGATAATGAGGATTCTCACGGTAAACCAGGGACATAAAATGTACATTTTAAAGAGTTTTGAAAAGCTACAAATGCAAGGACTTGTGAGACTATACTTACGGGCTGTATGTGGATCCACTGTTTGTTTTTTAACAGGGATCTATTTGTGGTGATTTCCTATGGCTGAGCTGTTTCCCTCTATGCAGCCTTTGTCAACTCAAGCGAGATATTGAAAAAAGAAAAGCAATGAATGCTTTCTAAAAGGTGCTTGGTAAGTTGGTGGGAATTCTTTGATTTAAGAGTATCAAAACAAATGCTCACTAACATCCTTTATTTCCTTGGTCCTCTCTCACAAATACATGAAACATCCCTTACAAAATGGAGGATAAATGATTTTTAATTGCCAGCCTACACCAGCAGTTGGTAGTCAGCTTCCATGGGTTGAGAGGGCTAAACCTGGAAGGATAGGAAAGAATTCTGAGGTTTGTTAGGTTGTCTGCCGTGTGACATACCAATGAGCATGCCCCATATCAACCATGCGTATCTCAACTAGACCATGATTGGAGGTAGTCGAGATAGGTGTGTGACCAGACATTCATTTCCCTAAGTCTAGTTCCTAGGTCTGCTGCTACCAACACTAACCAGTTGAGGTGTTATACTAAGTGTGACTGTGTAATGTGCCTAGTTCTGTGTTCTTGACAACACCAGAATGTTAGTATAATAATCCTTCCTCCAAAGCGATGGGAAGCTATTTTAGTCTCTATAAATTCAGTGTGGACATTTCACCCAGTTATCCAAAATTCCTAAAGCCCCTACTATGAAGAGGAGTTACTGACTTTTTGGCGGCTGTGTTGTCGAAGTTGGGTAGCTGCTCATTTACCTATTTCCTAGCTCCCCTAGTCACATTTTTAATCTTCTGAGTATCTGTTTCTCTCAGACATGTGGGTAATAGTTTACTTGTCCTGTCTTTCAATCTCTTATTGCCAGTCCCCATGGAATTTGCAATCAGAGTTTAGTTTTCACCTGGAAATAACTATTATCTATAAAATCCTTTCTCCCAAGAGGTCTTTGGGAATGTTTGATCAGGATGGCACATTCATGTGTATAATAAGTTGTCACTGGCGCTATTTTGCCACATGCGCCACAAAATGGTGTCTTCTTCACGAACATTTTAGTTCATTTCATGTTGCATTTTTGTATCCTAGCATTTGTCTTCTGATTGTTTCAATGGCTTCCTGGAATGACTAAAGTGCTTTACTCAGTTTCAGGCAGAGTCAAGATGGGGAGTTTTCTTATCATTCTTTTTCCTCCTTATATTCTACCTCCTGAGAATTGACTGTTGTCTCTCTTTCCAAGCAGTGACATTTGTTAAAAGTCCTATGTTAACAACCTGACTCAGAATTTGATGCCAAAGTAGCCCTAAGGGAAGGAAGATGTGACAGTTTACCAGTACAGTCAATGAAAAAGATTGTTTGGTGTTCTCTGCCTTTTGGAGACTCCTACCTTGGCATGGTTGATGACCCATTGACATTTGATAATAGAAGTTAACTCTGGCAGTCTACAGAGCATTCTATTGGTTCCCTCAACCACCTAACAACAATGCCTGACACCTAGTAGTCACTTAATAAATACTGTGGAAGAATAAATCAATGCAATTTTCAAGCAAGGAAGCATAATGAGACGCTAACCTAGGGGACTCATCTGAATCTTAACTGCTGATTGTGACTCTTTCTAATAGATTGTACTGAACCAGGGGCCATGATTTGATGTAGATCTTAAATATGTAGCAATTTGGCAGTAAGAGATGGGTGGAATGGAAGTTTTGATATTTGGAACAAGATAATGTAAAGAAAGATGAAACTGATAAATCCTAATTTGTTCATTCATTTATTCTCTCCTTTTTTTTTTTTTTTCTGATTTCTACAGGTCACATTCACAATGTGGTGAAAGAAATGCTAGAATCACATACTGCATCTGTTGAGTACTATCTCACCCCAAATCTTAGAAACTAATTCAACTAATCATATGGTTTCCAGTGGCTTCAAGACATTTTAAGTTTCTAGTTTATTTCAAAAGAAATACATTTCCAGTGCTGTTCTCTAATATGACTGCTATTAAAAAATTAATGTCCTCAACATTTCTTGTGTCTTTATTTTTTTAATTTAAATTCAATTAGCCAACATATAGTACATCATTAGTTTCAGAGGTAGTGTTCAGTAATTCATCAGTGTCTTTAAATACAGCTTTATGAAAAATTACAATATAATTTTTTTAAAAAATGAACCCAAATTTGTCAAAATGTTAAAGCTGAATGATGGGTACATGGAGAGTCTTTTTTTTTTAATTTTGAAAGGTTTTGGCTTTTTTTTTAAGTATAGTTGGCACATAAAGATTTCTTATTCCACTTTTCTATCTTTACATATGTTTGGAAATGTTCAGAATAAAAAGTGTTCTAAATGTTGTCAAGGCTTTTCTAATTTTAGTCTTTCCCACCACAGGTAGGCAAGGTATCACCCTGTGTAATCCCTCACCCCAAGAGAGGGTGATATTTTATACGGTGACTAGCATAACATAATAAAAAAAAAAGAAAAAAGAAAGGGTGGTATTTTGATCCACCTTGGGCCTCCCTTTAGGAGCCAGGATGGCATTTGGCACTTCTTACAACCCCATAAAGTAAATCCACTCCAGGAGTATTTGCTGGGCAATGCAGAGTTTACCATAGATTATATGGACCAAAGAGAGTATTTCTGTCATAAGCCACACAATTTCTAATTGAAATTGTCATTAGTCATTTCTATCCTCTGTAAAGTCATCTGCAGCAAGCCAGCCACAGGAACTCCACATACCTTCCTTTCTTTTTTATTTCCCCCCAAGGTTAATGTGGCATTTTTAAAAATTGAGGTATAATTGGGACATAGGTGTACAATATTATGGTGTGTGATACATGTACACACTGCAAAATGATCATCACAATAAGTTTAACTAACATCTATCCCTGAACATAGTTACAATTTTTTCTTGTGTTGAGAACTTTTAAGATTACTCTCTTCACAACTTTCCAATATGCAATACTTTACAATATATAATACCATGCTGTACATTACATCCCCATGACATATTTATTTTATAACTGGAAGTTTTTACCTTTGACTCCCTTCACCCATTTCACCTTCCACCATACCCATCTGGCAACCACCAATCTATCTATGAATTCAGGTAGTTTATTTATTTATCTTAGATTTCACATATAAGCAACACCATGCAGTGTTTGTCTTTCACTGTCTGACTTATTTCACTTAGCTTAATGCCTTCAAGTTCTATCCATTGCTGTCCCAAATAACAAAATTGCCTTTTTTTTTAATGGCTGGGAAATATTCCATTAAATATATATATATATACACACACACACACACACATATATATATACCACATCTTCCTTATCCATTCATCCTTCGATGGACTCTTAGATTGTTTCCATAGTGTGAAGCACTATCTCATTGTAGTTTTGATGTGCCTTTCCCTAATGATCAGTGATGTTGAGCATCTTTTCCTGGGCTTATTGGCCATTTATATATCTTCTTTGGAGAAATGTCTTCAAGTTCTTTGCCCATTTTTGAATCGTGTTGTTTATTCTTTTAATGTTGAGTTTGAATTGTTCTCTGTATATTCTGGATATTAATCTCTTATCAGATATGATTTGCAAATATGTTCTCCTATTCTGTAGGCTGCCTTTTTCTGCCAATGTAGTCTTTGTCTGGGTGGGAAGACAGATTCCGATGTTTCCTACTCTGGGCTCCAAGGGCTCACCTGAGTTTAGTCACAAACACTGTGAATAGGGAAAGGTACTATGGTCCATAATTCAGTCCTTACAACACCACAAAAACACCAGTGAGCATTGGCCTTAATCATTTGCCAAGAGGGGAGAGAAGACAATAATAACACAGCCACATATGTAGCCAGAGATCTGTTTATTTGGAATAAAAATGAGTAACAAGGGATATCTTCAGGAGCAATGAAGCCTGGCAGCATGGTGGACTTTGCCTGCAAAGTAATCCCTTGGGTTGTTTATTGGTTTCAAGAATTTTTGGCTGGTGATAGAGAAGAAGATTGCACAAGATTTCAGAGTGAGGGCAGAATATTTGCATCTGGGGGTGAATCCAGACTTCTCCTTTTGTCACAAAGCCACAAACCTCAGAGAGGGCCTGGCAGAAGAATCACACACCCATGAGCTGGGGACATGGGCAGGTGAGAGACCATGTGATTCCAGCAGAAACAGCAAGTGGTGGGGCACCTGCTCTGAAAGCCACACAGCACAGAGTATAAGCTTAAGGATAAGCAAGGACACTTAAGAGTAATTCATTCAATGCTACTTCTTGTCTTCAGAAATAACCTCAACACAGAACTGTTTAATGGAGAAAAATAAAAGCAGGTCCCCAGCAATCCTATCTTTCTCTCAGAGCTTTTTTTCCCATCTGCTCTTCTCCAACTCAGAGACCTCCAAAATATGGCTTTCTCTCTCCTTTTGCCTCATGCCATCTTATGAAAAATATCTCCCTGCTGTACTCCTTCCCCTGCCCACCATGTCTCCCAAACCACCACCAAGGAACCAACTTCTATATTAACCAGTGTATTTAACATCCTAATCTGATCTATTTGCCTTTGGACAACTTCATCAAAGTCCAGATATTCCCAAAGATAGTGGTGGCAGGGGGTGGATAGCAAAGGGGAGGATAGCAAAGGGGGACCCTGGCAGGAAGACTGGTCTTATATTAGTATACCCCAAAATGTTCACCTTGTTGTTCAACTTTTGTTTTATTGATTAAAATAAAATATAAAGATGTATTTACCTGAGTCCCTGAAGCTGATGAATCTCTAGTTTTAAATTTGAGAACAGAAACCAATGTGCTTTCCCCTAAAGGAGTTTCCCTTTATGCTCCTTTAGTCACTATCTCAGCACTATCCCAGTCCCACTCTCAGGATACAGTGCATACCAAGTCTTTTCAGTCTGGCCTACACCAACCCAGGAAAGGCTGGTGAAGGGAAATACTTCCTGTTTTGTGTGTTTAGGTTCAGATATGACTATTATTTACATTTAAAACCAAACTGGTTTCCCAGAGTCGAGAGTCTCATATGATTTGTCTTCTCTGATTTCTTCCCATTCAGTTTCCCCCCTACCCCTATTGCCCTCTGCACTATTCCTTATATTCCACATATGAGTGAAACCCTATGATAATTGTGTTTCTCTGATTAGCTTGACTCCGGGAAACAAACTGAGGGTTGCAGAAAGGGAGGTGGGTGGGGGGATGGGGTAACTGGATGATGAGCATTAAAGAGAGCACATGATATGATGAGCACTGGGTGATAAACTAATGAATCATTGAACATTATATTAAAAATTAATGATGTACTATACCTTGGCTAATTGAATTAAAAAAAAAAAAACACAGGTGCTTCTGAGCACTCTAGCCCTGCATGTTAAAGATATGCTTTTAAAACACCTGATGATTAGTTCAAATCAAGGAACTACCTTTTCTTTCTAAAACTGAAAACAAAATTGTTTCTCCCAGAACAAAAGAAGAATCCTCCCTACAAATTTGCAATTTTCACTGAGTGCAAAAATACAAATTTCTGGCAGTTAAAGGATAGCTATTTTTTAAATGCTTCTAGCCTTCAAGAGTACGTAGGTCAAGGGGTGCCTGGGTGGCTCAGTTGTTAAGCATCTGCCTTCGGCTCAGGTCATGGTCCCAGGGTCCTGGGATCGAGCCCCGCATCGGGCTCCCTGCCCAGAGGAGAGCCTGCTTCTCCCTCTCCCACTCCCCCTGTTGTGTTCCCTCTCTCGCTGTGTCTCCCTCTGTCTCTCTCTGTCAAATAAATAAATAAAATCTTTATTTAAAAAAAAAAAAGAGTACGTAGGTCAGAACTCTGAGAGACACAATCAAGAAAACTATACAGTAATGAATTAGTTTGGGGGCAGGGGGGAGCTTTTCCCTTCTTAGCTGGCTTAATAATTAAATTGACATAGATTAACAGAAGAAAAGCAAATTTAATATTATATATACAGGAGTTCTTGAAAATGTGAGACTCAAAGAAGTGACCAAAAACAGACAGCCTTTATACTTTTTAGACAAAATAATAATAATAATTAATAATAATAATAATACATTTGTGAAGAATCAACAAGACTGATATATACCCCTAGACTTCCTATGAAAAAAGCCTATCTACTTGACCTGGAGCCTTAGCAGAGGGGCAGGCTTCAGGTTTACCACACGTTGAGAGGATACAGAAGCGTTCTCAGGGAATGCAGTTTGGGGGAATGCCATTTTTGAGCTCTCATCTGGCTTTACTATAGCTTCTCCCAGAAAGGAGCTTACTTGTCTAGAGCCCCAAATTTTGCAATTGTCACTAAGGGGACACTTCTAGATCATTTGGACTGGAGACTAGCATGGTCTACAATTATAGTCTCACAGCTATATATATTTGCAAACCTTAAGGGTCTAGCTTCCAACTAGCCTGAAACTAGGTGCTGACTGAGATCCCTTCCTCTGAAACACTCACAGGTCTCAGCACATTCTCAGCAACTGGAATTTATCAAGAATAAATCAGACTGCTTAGGCAATCACAAAAGATTAAGAGACATCAAAGAACTAGGGCAAGGTTAAACTGCTTTATCTCCTACATAAGGCCACTCCTGCAAGACTAGAAGAGAGAGCTGTTTTGCCTAATACATAGAAGCAACATGAGAGTCAAGCAAAATGAAGAAGCAGAGAAATATGTTCCAAATAAAATAAAATCCCAGAAAAAAACTTAATGAAAGAGAAATAAGTAATTTACCTGATAAAGCATTCAAAGTAGTGGTCATAACCAAGCTCACCAAATGCGGGAGAAGAATGGATGAACACAGCAAGAACTTGAACAAAGAGATTGAAAATATAATAAAGTACCAAATAGAAGTCACAGAACTGAAGAATACCATAGCCAAACTGAAAAATACAGTACAGAGTTTCAACAGCAGACTAAATGAAGCAGAAGATAGAATCAGTAAGCTAGAAAACAGGGCAATGGAACTCACCCATTAGAGCAACAACAACAACAAAGAATTTTTAAAAGTG